ACTCCCTGAAAACAAACCCCCCCCCTCCTACTCCCGGAAGACAAACCCCCCCACCCCGCTAACGGCGCTACCTGGCATCCATGTAAGGTACCAGATTTCAGGCGGGGGGTTTGGGCTTTGAAGAGGTGGGTCATGGTTTTCCCTCATGGGTGGTGACGAGTTTCGCAGGTGTGCTGGTGATGCTGCGTTTGCAAAACCCACATCGTTTCTCCAACAACGGCGAAGATACAGCACTCACCGACCACGGTGGTGCAAGCTTCCACGGCCACGGCTGCCTGGCACAAAACAAGGCTTCTGCTGCGGATCGGGGAAGTAACTATCTGCTGTAATCGTTGCAGACCTTCTGCATTCGCACGCGACCCTGAACCCTACACCGTTATGTCATGTTGCCTAACCTCAGGCGATGTGATCCCAAAGTCAGGAACCCTAAACAACAAAAAAATCCGAACCCCGAGCCCTCAACCATATCCTTTCGGGGTGCATTGGGAGACTTAACCCCGAACCCGGCGAACCCTGTTACAGCCCTTGTGAACCCTGAAAGCCGAAACCCCTTAACACAACCCAAGTCCTGCAGACCGCACCTACGCCCTAAGCCCTTTGAAACCCCAAAAGACCGGTTTGGTGACCTCGGGCCCTAAACCCCGCCTAAACCCCCCTAACCCCCCCCCCCCCCCCCCGAAACCACCCTTAAACGACCCTTAAACACCCTAAAGCCTAAACCCTAAACCCTAAAACCCTAACACACCCCCCCCCCCCAAGCCGAAGTCTGCCAGAATGCCTCGGGCGCCAGAAGATCGGGCCCTCGAACAAAGCGCCGGCGGTCGAAGACGTACATCGAGCCTGCTGAGGCATGGCAGCCCCTTTAGGACTTTAGGGTTTAGGGTTTAGGGTTTAGGGTTTAGGGTTTAGGGTTTAGGGTTTAGGGTTTAGGGTTTAGGGTTTAGGGTTTAGGGTTTAGGACTTTAGGTGCTGGGGTTGCCAATATCCTATTTCAGCGCCTTCGGGGGGTTGAGGGATTTCAGAGGGAATTCAGGGATTTCAGGCGTTTAGAGCTTCCGGTAAAGGCTTCTTGCAGTCAGTAGATCCGACACCAAATATAGAAGAATTACAAAGTAAGTGAATTAAAACAAAAACAAGAAATAGCTATTGCAAGTGAGACGGAATGAAACCATCATCAACATCGACAACAAGAAACAACAAAAGAAAAGTTCTCTGAAAAGAGGGCTTAGGGTGGGATGCATAAATGTCAATGGACTAGCAAGCAATCCAGCAAAGAGGGTTGAGTTGAATGCATGGATGGAAATGCATGATTTGGATGTTAGGGCTTGTTCGGGGCTGGGGCATTTGCCATGATTCAGGTTCGATGGTTGAGGGTCGAGACTCTGTGCAAGTCGTTAAGGGCACTTAGGGCTCAGAGAGTCCACAGAAGATGAAAGGCACCCAAGTTGTCAACCATCCCATGGCTGCCCTCAATCCCAAACCCTGTAAACCCTGTAAAGCCTGTAAACCCTGCAAACCCTGTAAACCCTGTAAACCCTGTAAACCCTGTAAACCCTGTAAACCCTGTAAACCCTGTAAACCCTGTAAACCCCGTAAACCGTAGACCCTCCCTAAACCCGACGACGCCCCTTCACCCCTTTCGCCGCTTGCAAGCCTTGAAAGAACCCCCCGGAGGGGTACGATTCCAGGTAGCGGTGTATGCCGCCCTCCAGCTGGAAGACCTGCTTGTATTTCGTGCTGTAAATTTATTATGACTATACTTGCAATTCTTAATATTTCTGTATTTGTTGCTATTTGATTGCTATTGTTCTTACTATTGGTGTAGTCAGTACTACCATGGTATGTTGATATTGAGCTTTGAGAAGGCAGAGTCCGAGGCTTCGAGTTTGAACCATGTCGTAGCTCACGGGAAGACGCGTAGATCAGATCAGTTTATTGGAGATCTTCTTCATAACAACTGTATACAACAACTAGAAGTCGGTTTAGGGTTTAGGGTTTAGGGTTTAGGGTTTAGGGTTTAGGGTTTAGGGTTTAGGGTTTAGGGTTTAGGGTTTAGGGTTTAGGGTTTAGGGTTTAGGGTTTAGGGTTTAGGGTTTAGGGTTTAGGGTTTAGGGTTTAGGGTTTAGGGTTTAGGGTTTAGGGTTAGGGTTTAGGGTTTAGGGTTTAGGGTTTTGTACATTTAGAATGATTGTAAATACATATACTTTTGCAACAGCTAACCAAAACAGTAATGCCAAGAATGCCAAAAAACACTGATTGCTCACGTCGCCTCCCTCGACTGGGTACTTATGAGTAGGGCCATAAGTAGGATGACTACTGGTAGCTATGCTTATGACCTGATTTCATGGCACTTATAAGAATCCTACTGGAGCCCTAATTCCTAAACCCTGAACCCCGAACCCCCAAAACCCGAAACCCTAAACCCTCAACCCTAAACCCTAAACCCCAACCCCCAACCCCCAAACCCAAACACCCCCCAAATCCAGGCCTTGCTGTCGCCTCCCAGGGTGGACCGAAGAAGCCTCGGCACCGCAAAGGATCTGTCTGGGCTTAGCATTTAGGGTCTTGGGGTCTTGGGGTCTTGGGGTCGTGGGGTGTAGGGGCTTTGGGGGCTTGGGGTTGGGGTTTTAGGATTTAGGGTTTTGGGGTTTGGGGTTTTGGGGCTTTAGGGTTTAGGGTTTTGTCCTGATTGGGGTTTTAGGGTTGAGGGTTTTGGCGTTTTATGATCTGGGGGGGTTCTGGGCTGAGGGATTTATGAAAACTGCAATGGCTTGAGGTTTTCGGCGTTTAAGCCCTGCACTCCAAAGACTCAGGCGCTTAAGTTGTTGGCCTTCACCTAGAGCCCTTGCGTATCCCGAAATCCCACGCCGCGGAAGCCCAGAACCCGGGAACCCTGAAGCCCCGACGCGCCAGAACCCGTGTACTCCAAAAACCTCCGAAACCCAGGTTGCCAACCCATATGCGTAGTTCTCTACAATACTGTCCCTCTTGGGTGGGTTTTTGTTTGTGAAGGTGCCATCCTGTATAAGGAATTGACAAGGGATCTCCTTTCAAAGAACTGCCCACGTATCAAGGTCCTACGGGTTTGGGGTTTTTTAGGGCTTTGGGGTTGGGGTGTAGGGTTTAGGTGTTCAGGGTAAAAGACCTCAGTGATCTCCAGCCAAGCCCTGAAAGACCGATGGCCAGGCAGGGTCCTTGCGGGAGGGGGGTTCATGGGGGGCAGGTATGTAGGGAACCCTAGGGAAGCTTAGGGAGCCTTAGGGAGTAGGCTATTGGTGAAAGATAAACTTGAAATCAGCATGTATATGTATATATATATATATGTGAGAGAGAGAGAGAGAAAAAAAAGCGATATTATGTATATGTTCATTAGTTTTTTAGTTTGGATTCATAGACTTCTACGAGTAGTTCTCTACAATTATAGAAATGTTCTCTTTCTATAGTCAATCATGTGATCTATTTCTACAAGATTTCATATCATTTTGAATAAAGAACTGATTCGAAGGTTTCTCTCAATGATATAAGAATAATAACTTATTCGCAGAATGAATGGATATGTATATATGTATATATATATGTATATATATATATATACATATATGAAAGCAAGAAGAAAATCTGAAAATAAGCTTGGCTTACATCCCCCCCCCTTCGAACTCCTTAAGCACCCTAGAAGTCAAGCAGCGTAGAGGCTCGCTCGCAGCGCACGCCACCCGTGCAGTACATCATCACCGTCTTGCCTTAGGGCGCACCCTAAACCCTAAACCCTAAACCCTAAGCCCTATTCCCTGAACATCACTGAGCTTCTTACTAGAACATTGCGGCACTGTGTTAGGGTGGGTGGAGCATGAGGTCTTACCTTCGACCGTTTCCTGTCGAGTTTAGGGTTTAGGTTTAAGGGTTTTGGGTTGAGGGTTGTTAAGATTAAGTTGAGTGTAGGGGACGGGCTCGGAGGAAGTAGTCCCCTTCGGTCGGCGAGGTGGGTAACTAATGCGTGTCTAGCGAAAGGACTTGTTACAATTCCGTCCAGCAACATTTCGCACCACTCCGGTGTACATCAACAACTGGACCCTCAAGCAACCCCCAAACTCTAAACCCTAAACCCTAAGACCCAAAACCCTGAACCCTAAACCCTAGGACCTAGAGCCCTGGACCCTAGAACCCCGGAGCCAGACCCCCCCTCCAACCCGCAAACCGAAGCAGCATACCCTGCCTCGAAATTGCGCCAGGTTCTCTGCCTCCGCCAAGAAGTCCGGGACTTGCCTTGCAGCTGCAAGACTCTCGGGCTGCGTTTGGGGGGGCTTGACAGGGCTTTTGGTCTAGCCCTAAACCCTAAACCCTTAAACCCTTAAACCCCTAAACCCTTGAAGCCTTAAACCCCTAAACCCAAAACCTTAAACAACTAAGCCTTGAGGATCAGAGTTGTTGGGCTGTTACACACTGTTCGGTTATCTACAGGCTTCGGGCCTACAAGGCGCTTAGAAAGGCTAGCGTTCGAGGGCGACCTCCGTCTTAGAGCCCAAGATCTCAGGGCTTCAGAAACCCGAAGCCCAAAGTAGGGTTTAGGGTTTAGGGTTTAGGGTTTAGGGTTTAGGGTTTAGGGTTTAGGGTTTAGGGTTTAGGGTTTAGGGTTTAGGGTTTGGGTTTAGGGTTTAGGGTTTAGGGTTTAGGGTTTAGGGTTTAGGGTTTAGGGTTTAGGGTTTAGGGTTTAGGGTTTAGGGTTTAGGGTTTAGGGTTTAGGGTTTAGGGTTTAGGGTTTAGGGTTTAGGGTTTAGGGTTTAAGGTTGTCCCTTTCCCGGCCAGGCGCTCATAGGACAACGTCCGCGGGTCGATGCGGGGAATCCGGCAACCTGACAGCACCCTCTGGAGTTGAATGTAGGGCTGCTATTAGGCTTTAGGGATGCAGGGGGGGGTTTAGGGTTTAGGGTTTAGGGTTTAGGGTTTAGGGTTTAGGGTTTAGGGTTTAGGGTTTCGGGTTTAGGGTCGAAGATATGGGATGAATATAGACCCCCCCAAATAGTAGGATCCCTTTTGTTTAGAAGGACCCCAATAAGGGTTCACGGGGTGTCAGATAGTTGTGAGTTCTGGGGTTAAGGGCCCCATGGCTTCATAGCTTTGGGGTCTAGCAGCCTCCAGATCTTGTTTTGAAGCCGCAAGGCACTGAGGCAACTAGAAGGATGCTAGTGTCCAAAATCCTCGGCAAGTGGACAGGGTGTAGGGTTGAGGGGTGTTCAGGCCGCGGCACCAGCATCTCCTATTCGGGGTGTTTAGAAATTCTTTCTCGGGAGTACGGAAAAAAGTATCTGTGCACAGATTCGTCCTTAACAAGTCCGCTTTTCGACATCACCTTCTTTTCAATATCTGGGGTCACCCAAATCACCAAACGTACCCGGACGATGGCGAAAAAGTAGTCACGAACATACCAGTGTAGGGCTTGGCAACAATGTACCCAGACTACAACAACTAAAAACACGTACCCGTTCACTTTCGCTGGTAATCCCCAACCCCTGCAGCCCCCAGAAACGGTGGAGGCTCTCTTTTATGGGCCATCCTGTTCATGATATAAGGTCTACAGTACAGGTAGTGGTTCTCTCGGAGCAAGAGAGGAGGTTTGAGGGAGAAGAAGTTTGAGGGGGGCTTTCTAAGGGCTACAACCCCGTTTTATGAGGGTCCAGGGCTTTCATAGCCTTGCGATTGAGGGGTTTCGGCGCATGAAGGGGAGTTCATAAGGGGTTTGGGGTTTCGGGTTTGGGTTTAGGGTCTGGGGTTTAAGGCCGCTGCGCCACCTTGCTCACCGGCTGCAGGCACGTCAAAGTGCCCGATGCGGGTCTCGTAGAAGTTGCCTCAGGGCTGCTTTATGTCGCTACACCTACACCCAAACCTCCAAATCCAGCACAAAAACCATGGTTAGGTTTTGAGGGTTTAAGGGCTATTGTGCAGAGGAGCCGCCAAATTTGTACCGCTTCAGAGCGCGGAAATTTAAACCCAACCCGTGACTTCTTGGGTGTTGGGGGCTGGGCAAACACCGCTTTTTTACACCATTCCGTTGCAGACCCGCTGCGGACATCGAAGAGCACCAGGTCGTCACCACCCTGCTCCAGTCGCTCGTGCCACTCCTGGCGGAGCTTGTGCAAGACCGAAGGACCCGAATCCCACCTTACCCCTCCTTAGCCCACAGCACCCACACCGAAACCCTCCTCCTGAGATCAAGGCCTCCCGAACAAAGACAGGCCACCGTAACAAGACGAAGAACCTTCAGAACCAGAACCATGCTGGGATATACCCACAAAAGCAAAAAAACACATCTGCCGAAATGAGGCCAGAAGGTCCCCCCATGTTAAAAGGAGGAGGTCTACGATGGAAGCAAGGCTCATGGCCCGACTCTTCAAGCCAAAAGCAAGGGCGAAGGGGGAGCTACCGTGTAGGAGTAGGACAGCTGAAGCCCTGAACCCTCAACCCCCCCCCCTTGTCAAGCCCTGAAGCCTTTCGGTGGCTCTCTTTCTTGTGGGGGTGAAGGCTGCGAAGGTTCAAGGGGAAGGCGTGGGCCGGGGTTGAGAGATGTTCGGTGCGGAGAGCTCAGGACATGGGAGGTTTTGCTTTGAACACTCATTGAACACAACCTTATAGGCACTGACCCCCAAAGCCGCAAAGCCCCCCCTTTCCCGGCCGCCTGTGTCTCCAGAAGGACGAACCCAATCACTTGAACCCGGCAAGGCTTCCTTAACCGCTCCAACGTGTCAGACAGGGCACATCCTCCGCCCGAAGCCCTAAACCCTAAACCCTAAACCCTAAACCCAATAAACCCTAACCCCTCAACTGAGAAACGCCAACACCCTTCCCTGGACCCTCCTAAAATCCAACCCTGTCCTTTGGGCTTTGAAGGTGCTCTAAGGGAGCACCCAAGCAAGTTGTTTAAGGGGTGAGTTGTAGGGTTTAGGGAGTTTAGGGTGTAGACCCCGGACCCTCCTGCGGCGAGAGGTGTGGCGCGCGATCTTGCGAGGACAGCTCCTGGCGAAGCTTTGTTCTTGCTGCGCCAGCTTTCTGGGGCTTGGGGGGCGTTTGGGGGACCCTTTATGCATGATACTGGAAGCAATAGGAGGAAACACCCGGACACCAATGACCTGCTGCAATTGCATTTCAGGTTCAGTTTCAGCCGGCGGTAAAACTGGCCAAAAACGCGCCTCAGCTGCGGATAGCATGCCATCATTCGAACTAGCCGACGCTGGGCCGAAAACAGCTCACGAACTTTCAAATCTCCGCTGTCCACATTAGGAAAGGCACTCGCCAAGCACTTTGGGAGGGGGGTTGTTTCTGGCGTCAGAAAAAGTCGGAAAACAGGTTGGCTCGGAAAAAGCCTTGCTAACGAACGCTTGGGTAATTTTTAGTACACCTCCACTTTGCTTCTGCAGTCATCTTCGTACCCAAACCCTTAACCCTTAACCCTTTTCGGGGGGCGATAAGCTGAGCCGCAAACGCTCTACTTAGAGTGTCATGTTTGTTCATGTTAGGGTTTAGGATTGTTCACAAGGGTTTAGGGTGTAGGGCTCGGCACACCAAGCCCTACAGCCACAACTCCAAGCCCAAACTCAAGAAATGCCAAAAGCTGCTAAGCCCTAAACATCAAGCCGAAGCCCTAAATCTCAAACTTCCCCCCTGGTTCTTACTAGGCAATGAGGGAATCAGGGCCCCTGAAACCCGTTAAGGGATTCTATGGAGGTCCTAATTCCCTAATTCCCTACTAAGAACCAGCCAGTCCTGGTAGGCTTCAGCTTCGTCCAGGAGCTTGCAGACACTGCCGCTCTCCCAAACCTTCCCGCAGAGATCGGTTGTAGACCCCACGACCGAGGGTTTTTGCCGGTCAGGGTTTAGGGTCCTTTTTTACCTGGAATCAATCAGTGTGCGAAGTGTATCGCTTTGCAGGAGTGAAACCGGACCTGGGTGTAGGGTTTAGGGTTTAGGGTTTCGGGCTTCGGGTTTCGGGCTTAGGTTGGGGGAATTGATCGGCACACTCTACTTACTTCATTGATGCTGGGATCTGCTTTATGTTTGGCTCCCCTTGTTCACGCAAGATCACTCAAGCTCCGGAGGGTTTGAATCTCGGCTCCTGGAAAGCCTGCTCCCCAGCCAGCTGTTGCTGCTGAGAGCCCAGCAGAAAAAATTGACCTGCCGCCCCGAAACTGTCCCAAGCCCTAAAACCCTAGAACCCTAAACCCTAAAACCCTAAAACCCTTTAACCCTAAAACCCTAAACCCAAGAACCCTAGAAACCTAAAACCCTAAAACCCTAAATCCCTGAACCCAAAAACTTAGAACCCTAAACCCAAGAACCCTAGAAACCTAGAAACCTAAAACCCTAAAATCCCTGAGCCCAAAAACTGAGAACCCTAAACACCCGAACTTGCCCGCGGCCTTCACGCCCCTGGAGAGTTGCTGCCTTGGCTGGGTGCTCGGAGACCCTCGGACCCCTCAACCTCACCCCTAAACCCTAAACCCTAAACCCTAAACCCTAAACCCTCAACCGCAGCAGGATGCTCGCTGCAAGGAGAGATCTTGAAGTCCGTGCGTGCGAAGACGGTGCCCAGGTCGATGCGCAGATGGGCACAGTAGGCCTCGACGTCACCTGGGCGTCCAATAACTACTACTCGCTCAATAACCACCCATGAAAATTTGAAAAAAAAAAAAAAAAGTATAAGGGCAAAACAAAGTCTTCCTAATGAGGGCAGCGTAGGGATTGCAAGCACTTTTTTCGGGGTGGCTCTTAAGCAAAAGTAGATACGTTGAGGGTCTGGGCCTTTAAGGTTCATTTGCCAGCTTTGGGCTTAGGGTCTTGCACTTGGCCCTAGGGCTTGGGGGTTTTCAAGGTTTGGGGGTTACGAACTGGGTCTGGGCATCTCCGAACCCTAGGCTCTAGGCTCTAGCACACTGAGGGTTCAGGGTTCAGGGTTTCGAGTTTGGGTTTAGGGTTTAGGGTTTAGGGTTTAGGGTTTAGGGTTTAGGGTTTAGGGTTTAGGGTTTAGGGTTTAGGGTTTAGGGTTTAGGGTTTAGGGTTTAGGGTTTAGGGTTTAGGGTTTAGGGGTTAGGGGTTAGGGGTTAGGGTTGAGGGGTTAGGGTTTAGGGTTTAGGGTTTAGGGTTTAGGGTTTAGGGTTTAGGGTTTAGGGTTTAGGGTTTAGGGTTTAGGGTTTAGGGTTTAGGGTTTAGGGTTTAGGGTTTAGGGTTTAGGGTTTAGGGTTTAGGGCGGGTTCAGGGTCCCTAGGTGTGAGCGTCGCCTCTTGTCGACCCTACCCCTTCAGCCCTACATCCTCAGCGCTTGGAGGCTTGTGTTGATCGTTGCAGCTGGAGCCCTGTGTAGGGTGACTATAGTTGCGAGGGATCTTGACCCTAAACCCTAAACCCTAAACCCTAAACCCTAAACCCTGGTTCTTGCTTATGGCTACCCATGAACCTTCAAATAAAGTCCACGTGGCTCAGGACGCCAGTGATCCAGCCATTCACTCCCTCCTTCGCCACCTCCGAGTTCGGCTTTTGGAGTATAGGGTTTAGGGTTTAGGGTTTAGGGTTTAGGGTTTAGGGTTTAGGGTTTTGAGTTCTAGGGTTCTAGGGTTCTAGGGTTTTAGGGTTCTACTTCGCATGAGCCACATGAACCCTATACCCTCCCTGAACGCTGACCCCTAAAATAACCCCCAACCTACCTTTTTCTGTGCTAACCCTTTTTATCATAGCAACCCCTAAACGGAATTCTTGGGCAACCTACAAAGACGTGAACCCTAAAACCTAAACCCTAAACCCTATAACCTAAACCCAAAGCCCTAAACCCTAAACCCTAAACCCTAAACCCTAATCCCTAAACCCTAAACGGGCTTTGGGCCCTTAAGGTCGAAGCCCCGGCCTTCACTCTCGCTTGAAGCTTGCAGGCCGGCAGGTCTGCGCGGAGGAACTCCACCACGGCCGAGACGTCCTCTCTCGGCAGGAAAGAGTGCATGAGGGAGGGAGAGAGAGAGCGACCGAGACAGACAGACAGACAGACTGACAAAGAGAGAAACATACAGAGAGACAGACAAAGAGAGAGACAGAGAGAGAGAGAGAGACAGACGGAGAGAGAGACAGACAGAGAGACAGAGAGAGAGAGAGAGAGCGAGTGCGGAGGAGAGACAGAGAGAGGGGTAATAGTGAGATGAAAAGATGAGTACATTCAATGCGTGTTTGCATGGGTACATGTACGTGAAGATGAGGGATTGCACACTTTCTCGTCCCGCTTGGTAAACCCTAAACCCCACAGCCAGAGGCTCCTAGGTTCAATGCCTCACAGACCACAAAGCATCCTATGTAGGGCCAGGTTCCCGAACCTTAAGCCTTGAACTCCAGACCCAGGATACCAGCACGAAAACAGGCGCCTTGATATCCACGAGGTCATAGAAGTGTACGATGCCATAGCTGCGGGTCTTCGTCATGTCAGCAAACACTGATTGCATGTCACTCGGTTCCCGGCAAGGTTTAGAGCACATGCGTCGACGTGTGGGCTTACAAGGCGAAGGTCTTAGGCTGTTAATGCTATTTCAAGACATGGAGGGGAAGTCCTTAAAAGGTGCCAACTAGAATAGGTTTAGGGTTTTGGTTCTCTCATGCAGAAGACCCCTTGTAGTCTTTGCTGCTTTTTTGTTCGGACCCGCGCTGTCCCGTTCGTTCCTGAGAAGCAGAATCCTGAAACCAAGCTGCGTTCAGTCGATATCACAATCCTTGGACCCGCAAGGAAAAGCTTCAGAGCAGAAACAGTCCGAAGAGCCCCTAAACCCTAATTACTATTGTGTAAACCCTAAACCCTTCACCCTGATTGATCCAATGTCCAGTATCGAATTCAGCATCTCCGACGAAAGGTCGCAGGGGTTTGGTCCGTCAAAGCCACAAAGACACATACCCCAGACATTGGTGGCGATGCTACTTCGGAATTCCCTTCCCAGCATGAGCTCGTCCAACACCAATCCAAAAGCCGCAATGTTTTTTTGCGAAATTCGGTGTACCTTATTGGGGGACCTGATTCTAAGGGAATCCTACTAATTTGGGGACTATATTCAGGTCCCTTGTTGTCGTAAACCTCCTAGTGTCCCTTGAGTTTAGAGTTCTTTTGGGTCTTTTTCAGAGCGGCTTGGTTGAATCCGATTTCCTACCGCGCGGAGAACAGCCGAGAAAGCCATATGCAAGCTCACAGATGCGAAGGCTTCGGGAGACTTTGAATTATTATAGGGTCGTCGAGGGAGGGGGTTCATGGGGGCTAGGTACCTAGGGAACCTTAAGGAAGCTGAGGGAGCCTTAGGGAGTCGTGGGGAGTAGTAGGGAACCTTGGGTTGCATACCCCCCTTGAACCCCTCTCCCTTAAGAACCCTATGAAGGACTCTCAAAGATTCGAGTGCGTGGCTTCGGCACCCTAGAGACCAAACGCAAAATCGCGAGTATCCGTAAATTCGAATAACGCTGATACAGCCCAAAGCGGCTAACTCTAAAGTCGAAGGCCTCCCCCCCCCCCCCCCCCCCCCCCCCCCCCCCCCCCCCCCAAAAAAAAAAATGAATAAATAAACTAATAAACTAAGCCTAAATTGAGAAGCAGCACCAGGTCTGTAGCTCCCAAAGTCTTAAACACACCCCCCGCCCTGTCGAGCTTGCAACTGCAACCCTTCTCGAGCTCGCGGTACGTTGAGCCCTGTTGAAAACTGGCGTCACCCTGCGAGCATTCTCGATGCTGGGTCACTGAGGGCAGACACCGTTTGGAGTTAAGGGGCGCTCAGCACGAAACAGTAAACCTTAAGCCTTAAACCCTAACCCTAAACCCTAAACCGAGACTACACTCTCCCTCTTACGGTTGTTACATGGTCCCTTCATATTGGGCCCTTCATTGATTGGGGACCCTTATATAACCCTGAACACTCAAGGGCCCCTACTTCAGAACCTTGTAAACTCTAAAGAAGGGAAGGGACTAATATTCAGGGACCATGTAAACCCTAAACCCTAAACCTTAAGCCCCTACTCCAAAAGAAGGCACCTGTGAGCTTAAGACCTCCTTTAGCGGGGCAGTTGGTAGGGCACCCAGCCGGGAAGCCAACGCAGCTGACGAAAGGCTCTGAACAAGCTTCCACAAAACTAGTAGGGTGTAGGGTGTAGGGTTTAGGGTTTAGGGTTTAGGGCTTAGGGTTTAGGGCTTAGGGTTTAGGGTTGCGTTGCTCCATGCATTTGTCATAAGCTTAAACAACTTATGCCATTCCCAGGGGCTTGGCTGGCCCCACAAATTCACGCCCCGGCAGATGCAAACAAGAGACTGAAGGATGCAAGACTAGACCCAAGTGTAACCCAGGAACAATAAAACAGGGTGCTGTTTTTGTGGTTTAAAGGGGCTTCTATTAAGGGAACCAAAACCCGCAAGAATAGGGAGTTTTTGGCCTTCTCTGGGTCCTAGCAGAGTATGGAAACGCCTAAGCCTCTAGGGTTTCGGGTTTAAGGTTTAGGGGAGTACCCCAAGCCGCAAGGCCGAATCCTAACCCTAAAACCTTACAACTCTTGAGCCGCTAAACGCCGCAGAAAGCTCCAACCACTAAACCCCCTAAGGCCCTAAACCCTAAAACCCTCGAACCCTAAACCCCTCAAACCCTAGCACCCTTGAAGCCCTAAGCCCTAAGCCCTAAACCCTAAACCCTAAACCCTAAACCCTAAACCGCTGAACCCTAAGCCCTATCAACCTTCGGCTCCATCGAGCAAATCAGGCTCGGATCAGGGCTTTGATGCCCGCAATCAGCAGCAAGCCCTCCATGCAGGCCTGCATGTCATGGGATGCTTGGGGTTTGGGGTTTCGGGATTCGGTTTAGGGTTTAGGGTTTAGGGTTTAGGGTTTAGGGCTTAGGGCTTAGGGCTTAGGGCTTAGGGCTTAGGGCTTAGGGCTTAGGGCTTAGGGCTTCGGGCTTAGGGCTTGGTGGCCTGTGCGAAGCCGAAGAGCATGAAACCGGTCTGGCGCGCCTCTGTCGACACCTGAGCCCGGGCAGGGTCTGTGAAGGTGGGACTTAGGCTGTAGAGTCTAGAGCGTGTGTCTAAGGGTAGTTGTTTGGATGTGCCCCCGTATTCTGTCAGTCCTTAATTGGGATGAAATCTGGGGTGCTATAATCTCTATTAAGGACTGCTCGTATAAGGGGGTCCCTTATTTGGGCCCTCATGTACCCCTCATATACCCTCATTATGAAGGGGCCATGTAACTTCCCTAGATTGTGAGGGTTTAGTGGTCGTCTCCCTTCCAGGGCTTCAACCTTTCGGGTTCATGTCGAGAATCTAGGGCTTGATGGGGCTTAAGGTTCAGCGTTGAAGGGTTTCGGGTTTAGGGTTTAGGGTTGAGAGGGTTTAGGGTTTAGGGTTTGGGGTTCAGGGTTTAGGGTTTAGAATTTAGGGTCTAGGGTTTAGGGTTTAGGGCTGTTGTGTTGCACCTCTACGAACGGTCTCCTGCAAAGCCCAGAGAAACGCAAAATCCTTGAGGAGAGGTCGACCCGCTGCAAAGTAGTCCTAAGCATGATCCTCCTAAGCCTCAACGCGAAACCCTCAAGCACACATGCGCTCCTCCTTACTTTCTTTTGATTCCTGCCCAGAAACGGTGTACTCACGCGCATACTTGACGCGGGCGAAGAAAAACCTGCTCTTCCGAGGCGTTGTTCTGGCGCATCTACTTGAAGGTTCATGGGAACTCATAAGTGGTGTTTTCAGTACCCTAAGAAAGGTTGTAAGCATGGTTACCCTACTTAAAACCCTACTTATAAGCACCCATGAAGCTCCAAGTAGACTTGCGATCTTTCTTCCGGACTTGAAGCGCGGGGTGGAGACAGGACTCTTGAAGCTTCATGCCAATCTGGGAAACCTTAAAGCACAAACCCGGCACTCCCAAAACCCCAACAGCCCCGGAACCCTACACCTCCGAAACCAGCTATATAACCCCACACCCCGAAACGTCTTGAGCTTCAGGAAAATTTCGGGTGTCGGGGGCTTGAGGGCTCTAGGACCATGGCGATTGAAATTTCTGGGGTTGGGGTGTTTCAGGGCTGTAGGTTCTCTACCCCTCAGGCTTCAACGCACGCTACAAAGCGAACGATCCCAAACCCTAAACGTTTACCTGATCCTATTACAGTTGGGTTGGGTTGCGGGGTGGAGGGGGGGGTACAGGCCTCGGGCCTAGGGTGTAGGCTTTAGGGTTTAGGGTTTAGGGTGGGGTGTAGTGCTTAGGACTTAAGCGCAGTCCAGGTGCACGCATGCATTGACAAAGGTCGGGAAGGGGTACACGAAGCCATTTGCGAAGAGATAGGCCAGGTACATGGGCAGGTATTCCTGAGCTTTAGGGTTTAGGTTTTAGGGTTTAGGGTTTAGGGTTTAGGGTTTAGAAATTAGGGTTTAGAGTTTAGGGCTTAGGGTTTAGGGCTTAGGGTTTAGGGTTTCAGGGTACTCCTGGGCTGCTGCGAGCAGACCCAAACCGAAAACATTTGAGCTTGTTCGCACAGAAGAAACTCTTCTCCACTTGGAGGTTCATGGGTACTTGTAAGTAGGGTTGTAAGGACACAGTTACCCTCCTTATAACCCTACTTATAAGTACAAATGAACCCCCAACATGCCCCTTGAACCGGTAGGGCAGACCCAAACACGAGCCTCCGAACTAAGGGTTTCGGGCGTCGCTGATAGAAGGAGAGGAGCCCCTCTGCGCAAACAACAACTCAACTCCAAACCCTACGACCCTGACAGCCCTAGCCCGAAAGGCAGGAAACCTTAACCCCTAAACCCTAAATCCTAAACCCTAAACCTTAAACCCTAAACCCTAAACCCTAAACCCTAAACCCATCACCTAAACCCTAAACGCCTAAACCTTAAACCCCTAAAGCCTAAAGAGTAGGTCGAAGAAGAACTTTCAGAGAGGGGGCCGAGCACAGCTTGCAGGTCTACCCTAGCCCTTCAGAACCCCTGAAGCCCTAGCCTGAGGCTTGTATTTCGGGGTTTAGGGTTTAGGGTTTAGGGTTTAGGGTTTAGGGTTTAGGGTTTAGGGTTTAGGGTTTAGGATTTAGGGTTTAGGGTTTAGGGTTTAGGGTTTGGGGTTTGGGGTTGAGGGTCTTGGATTCAGGATTATGGGTTTAGGGTTTGGAGTTCAGGGTTTCCCAGAAACCTGACCATCAGCATTCCAGGCACCATCAGGTTCTCAAAGCCACGCTGGGCTCGGTTTGCACGTCCCACGGGGCCCTTCTCCTCTGATCCGTGAGGGTTTAGGGTTTAGGGTTTAGGGTTTAGGGTTTAGGGTTTAGGGTTTAGGGTTTAGGGTTTAGGGTTTAGGGTTTAGGGTTTAGGGTGTCAGGTTAAGGGTTGAAGGCGCAGGTTCCTGGATCCTCAGAACCTCTAGTAGCTAAGAAGGTGTACGCCTCAAAGAAGGGCCCTTTTTGTCGCAGTGACA